TCAGGGTAATAATAAGTTTAGGGTTCGGGGTTGTTCAGAGTAATAACAAGTTTAGGGTCGAGGGTTTAAACTAAGTACAATTGTGCCTCTGACCCAATTATTAGCACCGTTGGTCGGCGAATGTGGTTAGAATTGGGTTACAAGGACTTTGGTTGTAGTTACCCGGAACCTGCAAGTATCTCAAATACGGCCACGGGCATAGTCCTGTTCATGCAGAACGCGTTCAAGGATTTAGGGTATAGGATTTAAGGGTATAGGATTTAGGGTTGATTGTATTGATGGTGCTAGCAGCAAAGAACTGTACATGCGCGTACATACTGATGACCAATGGTCGCATTTTGGGTTTAGGGCTAAGTTTCAGATTCCAGAGGATTGCAGGTTCAGGACCTACTTACTGTATGCAGATTCCAGCAGTTTGGGGCCCATACCTCTATAATCCTAAACCCTAAAACACTAAGCCAGATTGTAATTATACCGTCCCATACCGTCCCAAACCCAAAACCCTAAAGCCCCGGCCCCGAGTCCTTAAGTATGGTTGTATCTGAGTGACAGCTGCAACTATAATGACAAAACTGCCTTCCGCTTCCACATGAGCCATAATCTAAACCCTTAATAAGCCCTATAGTAGTCCCCTATATAATCCCCCACATAACCCCCTTTCAGGAGTTTGGACTATGGCTCACATCCCTTTTGCGTCTAGGGATTAGGCTTTCGGGGGGAGCCTGTGGCTTATACAGTAGGGTTTAGGGTTTAGGGTGGAAGTTGAACAACAATGTCAAAGTTGAACATCGGAAAAAGGCCAGCAGTAATAGTCTGGCATCCTTTTCCCTCAGCTCTGATGAACATTGGATAGTGTTACTCTAGTGACTTTAGCGCTATTCTTTAGAGCTGATTCTTTACCTAAACTGTGAAGAGTACGAATCTCCCATCATCCTCAGGACACTTCAAGTCCAAACCATGTTGCTGAAATTGTTTGCGCTGTTGATCTAGCCCTTGTTCATCCCTTTCTCCGTAACCTCCCTAGAGCTATAACAAAAGCAGCGCGCTTTAAACAAACCCTAGAGGTTTTACGATTATACGATAGACAATGGAAATTAATTTCCAAGGAGACGACAGATCTGTGTCAGGCAAGGAAGCATAAAGCTGGCCTGCTCATGCAGTATTGGTAGTATGTTCAAGTGGGATGAGGAGAGAGGAAAAGAAGAGGAGCAGCTATAGCGCTCCCATCAATTCTCTTGCTACTACTACTACTGCTGCTGCTGCTGCTGCCACCACTGCCGTTGCTGCTCGTGCTGCTGTTGCTATGTCTGCTTGTTATCTGTACTTGTTGTCCCTATAGCTACGAAGCCCAACTCCTCCTGATACTTACCAATGCTAGTGCTAAAACTAGGATGATGCCTACAAGCATTCTCCTGAGACGTCTACACTGTTACCTCCTGACATCGAAATTCCATGCCTTATGCTGCATGGTGGTCTCTTTGCCTGCTTCCATGCACCAACGCAAAATCCATGCGCGCATGCTCTCATATCACTCTTTGGGCCGATATGGGTATCCAGAACTGAAACCCTGCTTAAACAAACCACCATGCCGTATGAGCCATAATCTAAACTCCGAGTATCCTCCTGAATAAGCCCTATAGTAGTTCCGCATATAGCCCCTCATATAACCCCCTGTAAGGAGTTGCGACTATAGCTCATATACGAACTGAAGCCCGAGAAGTTGTGCGGTCTTGGGGCTCCAAATGTCTACCCTCCGGGGCTTAGGGTTCAGGGTTTGGGGTAAATGACATGGAAACTGGGTTTGTAAGAGGCTTACGTGGATAAGTACCAATGCTCTGTTCCTAGAATGCTTGTATAGCTATGGTATGGTGTGTCTGAACCTGACCTCAAAATGATATTGGGAATCCCTACATTGCACAATCTCTTCCTCCTCCAATACAAACCCGCCGTGTTCCAACTTTTTCCATCTGATCCTCCACTACTGGGGGAATCTTACCCCTGAACCCTAAATCCTAAGCCCTAGATCCCCTTAAGCCCAAATCCCTTCATCCGAAACCCTAAGTCGACTAAACCCTAACTCCCTATGTCTTAAATCCTAAGCCTACGCCCTACATCCTCTAAACCTAAACCCTAAAACCTAAATGCTTCCGTTGCTATCTGAGTCCAAAGCAACGGCAGCCCCAGTTAGGGTAATTCCAGGAGTACATGAGCATCTTCCCACACCTGGCCAGGAATGAACTGGGAAATAAAGTAGGACTTTTCCGCACCTAGAAGGAGTAAACTGGGAAACTACCTGAAAGTTTGCATATCTGTTGTCTTTTTTGCATGTGGAGTATTATGTGGGTATTTCCAAACTAAGGCACACCTAAAAAAAACAAACAATCGGCGATCATGCCGACTCCTGCAACGGGACCCCCAATCTTTGAAAACATCCCTTGGGCATTTTGGAAGGCTTCTCGCAATTACATAGAAGGTCCGAATTTCAAATGGTGTTGAAACCAAGGGGGGTCGGAATTGGGGGGGGGGAGTATAGAGGGGGATAGCAGAAGAACCCATCCCTAAACCCTAACCCCTAAACCGCGACTGTTGCAGGTCGAAGGCCGCTCTATTTGCCTGTCTGCCGCGTGATCCCCGGACTGCCTTTTTAAACATGCGGGGGACCCTTTTTTCCAACAAACTACCCTAAACCCTAAACACTAAACTGGCCCTAAACCTGACGCCCTAACCAACAAAGCCTAGCTGGTTGAAGGCTCCATCCCACAATCAGCCTCAAAGGAAGCCAGAACAAATCCCTTGCAGATGCTTCATAAAGCAGGCTACGTCAGCTATGACCACCCTGAACACGAAAAACGCAGAACCACCCCACCCTTGCAGCGGTTTAGAGTTTAGGGTTCTTCTGGCCTCCAAATGCCTGATCGCTTTGAGGACTGAGAATCTAGTTTTGAGGGGCTGTTCAGGCAGATTCCCAATGTCCATTTCATTGTTTATTCTCTTTTTCATTTGATTTTTCACTATTGGGGCAAGATCCCCACCAGAACTCCTATATTATTCGTATATCATCCCAACCCTAAGCCCAATCCTCAAGCACGATGAAGCGCCACAATTACAACAAAATCGCTTGCCATTGCGAGTCCTGGCTTTCAAGCACGGTAAATAACATGGGAGTGACTGGCGGGGCCTCTTGCACTGTAAGCCCCAAACTGGGTTGCTGTTAAGGAACTTAAATTAAGTTACTGTATTGGGGAGACCCTATTATTTACTTTTTCTACCCATTATGGTAACTTAATTTACGTTCCTTAACAGCAACCCAGCAAACCTCTGAAGCTTGAAAGACAAAACCTCAAACCCTAAACAGTAAACTCCATGCGGCCTGCTACAAACAAAAAAACATTAAGACTCTAAGCTACAAAACGCCTCAAGCCCCTAAACGCGCTGAAAGCCCTAAAGCCAAAAAACATCCGCACCCAAATTTGCCAGCAGAACTCGGGCTCCTGCAGCGCCACAGTTGCACAATCCTGCGAAATTGCAGAGGGTTTAGAGTTTAGGGTTTAGGGTTTGGGGTTTAGGGTTTAGGGTTTGGGGTTTAGGGTTCGAGCCCCCTAGTAGGATTTGAAATCTGCGGCTTAGGGGCTCAAGCTTCCTGATTTTGATGTTTCTCCAACCCAAGACCCCGAAAACCCAACAGCTCCAACGTTGAAGTCGCAGAACTCATGGACTCTTGCGACCTTTTTTGGGGCGTAGCGTTTTCGAGGGAGAGGGAGGGAGGCAGAGAGAGATAGATAGATAGATAGATAGATAGAATTTATACAGACACATTTAGAGACTTACGTGCCTTCTGGATGTCTTGGATGTTCAAGAGCGTAAGCCCCAGATCCTAAACCCTAAGCCCCAAAACACTAAACCCTAAACCCATGCCCTAAGCCCTTAACCCTAAATCCTAAACCTTAAACCCTATGCCCCACCTTGGCTGAAATCATGCCTCTACCAGGTGCGAACACCCAAGCGGAGGACACCAACCAAGCAGCTTTGTATGGCTAAGCGGCTACTGTACAAGTCGGTAGCACAGGACGTAATATCATTGTTGCATTGTTATTGCTGTTGTTGTGATATCAGTGTTATTCCTCTTCTTTGCGTTATAGAACTGTTTCCAAGAGTGTGTTTCTGCGCAGCATTGCGCTGGGGTCACCACCACAGTATGACCAGGCCGAGATGTCATGGCATGCCATGCAATGCACTTTTGCATGAAGCACCAACAGATGTGCAATTCATCACCAGCTCGTGTGCGGGTTTAGAGTAACCAAATATTCACAAAACACCACGCCAAATCACATATTATGTATTCCCTCATTCCGTACTAATCCCCTGTAAGTCAGGGTTCCAGCGGACAGGGAATGATGACTGAACCTGTCATGGTTTTCAGCACAGAGATGTGCGGCTTTCAGGTGGAACGCTCAGCTTACTGGGGGCTTGAGTATATTATACACGGATTATAATAAACTACATAAAGACTTAGACGATGCATATAAGGGTTGTCAATAAGTTTTATAAGGGCTAAAAATGAAACATATATGGATTATAGTAAATTCTACAGGGCTTATACCGATGATGCTACATGGTCCCAACCCTAAACCCTAAACCCTAAACCCTGAACCCTAAACCCTACAAACCGCGAGGATTCCTGGGACTCCGAAGGCCCGTTAAGGGAACGCAAGACACCCAAACGATTCCCCTAAATAGGAGGAC